TATACATTCAACAATCTTGAAAAGAGGAAGAAAAGAAGTAATAATAAATTAATCTTTTTTTATTGATCCAAAGCATCTTTTAGTTAACTTTTGTATACTAAAACTAAGTTTTTTCAATTACTTTTTAGTTAAAAGAACATAAACAATGTCACAATTAAAGAATTAGTGAGAAAAAAGTTGGCAATCTAGTCTTAAGAATATCAAATTCTAAACCCAACGTTCAAATCAATTCTTTTATACCAACTAATTGGTCAATTGAAGTTGAGTGGTTTACGATCTTTAGATTAAGTGTTCGAAAAAGGAAATTGTCTTTTAGGAGAAACATAATGATTTAAATTTTACTAGGCTTTTACATGTTTTTCTTTTTTGCTTCATAAAGATGAATATTTTTTTAAGAAGAAAAAGATGTTAAAGAGGGTTAATTGGATATGTTATATATTATATAAGCTAAAGGTGGTATGGAGAATAGGATTAGTTTTGTTTTGGAAAACTGAATAGTGAGAGACCAAAGCCCATGCTAGCTAGAAAAAGATCAATCAGAAAGAGAAAGTATGTATTCATATACATGCTTTAGAAATATTGCTATTCAACTTTTTTGACTCAAGAGAGATGGTGGAAGCTGCATGCTGTCTTCTTTCTAGAGAACAATGTATGGTGATTAATGGGTTGAAAGAAATACACATATAAGACATATATATATATTTACATGTTTAAAAAGCAAAAGTGAAGAAATTCCTCTGTTGATATTCAATTAAACCTATAGAATCTAGACTATAGAGTTAAATTAGACTTACTTTTCCCTAAAAGTGCCTTTCTTAGGAAAAAAATTCTGTAAGGCACTCTTTATTAAATAGTGTATCTGTTATAAACCAAAAACCCTAATTAAACTTAAAACTTGAAGCTCTAAAAAAAAAACAAAGAAACCCAAACAAACTATATATATATATGTATGTATGTATTCAAGCTCCAAGAAATAATTAAAATCCAAAGAAACTCTAATATGAATAATATGCTCCAGAAATAAAAATAAATTTGAAAATTTTGTATTCTAATTAGTTAGTTTTGAATATTTTTAAAAATTATGGATACTTTGAAATAAAACAATGACATTTATAGAATGTTTGGCTTAATTATGTTACTGAATATTTAATTATATTTTTGTAACACTAAATGTAAGAATTAGTTTATTAGAAATTTAAATATTCCATTAATTAGGTAGTCATTTACATGTTTGTGATAACACAACTTTTTTAATAATGATATACGTAATATAACCTCCTAAGAGTGATAAAGAGAATGTATGATCTACAATCCAAACTCACTGTCATAAAAAAAAAAAAAGTTGAAAATAGTTATTATATAGCTAAAGAAAGATTAGTAAATGTAGAGAAATTAGTTGGTATACTAGTTGATATCGAGGTTCTACTGGAATCAGTGTTAGCTTGTAAATGAATTAAAGAAAGAAAATAGTTGGACTAACACATGAAGAAGATGATAACATGTATATGTAAATGTAAATGCTTGCCTGTGGAGGTCCATTCTCATCTGATTCAAGTCTGTACTCATGCATGATCCAATCTGTTTTCTGGCCATTTGGGGCTCTTCCTTTGTAGAAGACAAGTGTTTTTCTCATCCCAATAAGTTTAGACTTATCATACACGGCCTTGTCTCTTCCGGTCGCCTTCCAGAATCCCGCCATTGTCGCTCTGTTAGTCCTCGTCCCTGTCGGATACTTCTTGTCCTTGTGGCTGAAAAAGTACCACTCGTTTTGCTCTTCATACCCGATCCTGCATCTCTCTGCTCATCACCCGGTACATATATTCAGATCTTAATTCGTTTTCATGTGTGTGTGTGTGTATATATATATAGAAAGAGAGAGAGGAAAAGTTAACATGCACTAACAAACGCTGTTTAACATGTAACATTATATATGCTGCAGAAACCCTAAGAAAATAGTTGATGGGATAACCAGTTTCTACGTTGAAACACTGGAAGAAGATGATGATACATATGTATGTGTATGTGTGTATATATATATATACGGTATGTACGAATACCTTGGAGATCCCATGGTTCGATTCTGTAAAGATCAATGTCTCTGATAACGTCAAGATCGATCTTCTGCGATGCGACTTTCTTTCTCAAGTAATACCCTACAAGCTCCTCGTCCGTCGGATGGAACCGGAACCCAGGTGGGACACAACACTCCATTGACTCCATCATAGCTGATCCCGCTGCATCAAATTCACCACCACTATTAATTCTTCATCATCATCTTCTTCTTTATCATCATACCTAATGTCTTATATATGTATTTTATAGGATGTATAGCTATGGGAATAGGGATCAACTAAGAAAGAATGATGAAGCAAGAATTCCTGAAATGAAAGAGTAGGAGAAGAGAGATCATGAAGGCTCGAGTTAAAAGATGACAAGTATTATAAGGCATAATCATCAGCTCATTTGGTGATCAGCAACTATGGACACAAGCACTACTCACCAATATATTTGGCCCTGAAAGAAATTTAATAAGCGCGTGTATATATTTACACACACACACACGCACGCACGCACAACAGCATATATTTATCAATGCTTTAAAAAACATATAAAGAGAGGGAAAAAAGAAAGATCATGAGAGTTTGGTTTGAGAAAAACAAAGAGAGAAGCTTATAAGAGTTAGGTTCTGTTTTTTTGTGCAGAACTCATGAAACGGACAACTAGAGGTTTGTGCTAATGATGTTGTCTTGCGTGGGTAAATGGTGGAAATGATGCATCAAGAACGGGGTCCCTGTACAATATACATATATTATATATAAACACATTAATTAAATGTTAATTAAATATAAAATAAACTAACATCTTATCTAATAAATAAAAAATGAACTACCCATAAGTTTAATTAGTAAAAAAAACTTGAACTAAAAATGATAAAGAAATAAATATAATTTTAAAAAAATTTAATTTCAAAATAGAAATTCTAAATGTGTAAAGGTGGATGACGTTATCACAAAAAATTAGCACGCGTTTCATCGAAAGACAAAAGCTAATTAAACAGAGCAAAAAGAAATAGAAAACAAAAAGTGGGACACCGTTTTTCATTGTATCAAATTCAAGCCTGCAAAAAAGAGAAAATGCAGAAAACAAAAACAAAAAGAAAAAGATGAAAAATAGGATGACTACTCTTGAGGCCCTTTGTACCGTAGTCTGTTTCTCATTGCTTAAACGGACTCTGACCCTTTTGTCTCTTTGTCGAGAATTTCCATGGCACATCTGATCATAACTACGCTTTATTTGAGACTGCCTGAGTCCTATCAATTCTATTGAGAAAAAACGTAATGCTATTTGAACTATATATATAGATATATTTAATACCGCACCATTTTCATTTTTCATGCGAACTTCTCTCGAGAAATTAATTCATGCTGACTGACTAAAGAAAAATAAAGAATAAGGAAAAATGACCCTAAACTCATAGAATAATAACTATATTCGGTAGCTAGGGTTGATTTTTCGTGGAAGCTGTTTTTGTCTTCCGTAATTTCCAGACTGATAGAAGACAGGAAGACATGGCTAGGGCTGGATGAGACGGCGACAGAGAATATTGGGTAAGCTTGTTCTATTAAGCCTAGGGACTTACTCACCTTATTTGCCCTCTAGAAAAAGAAATAGATATATATATATAAACACTGTTTGTAAATATATCTATATATATATATATGTGGAGAAGAAGAGAAGAATTTGTGAAATAGACACAGAAACAAAAACTCTACAAGAAACCGTTTCACCAAATCTCCGTCTTCGTTCACGTACTGGCTTCTTGGACTAAGCAAAAGCAAATATGACTTTGATTGATATACATATATATGTATGTATATCTATATCCGTCTTCAAGAGAAAGAGATCAGAGGTGACCCCAAGGACATTTATGTTATAGTTAAAAACTCGACAGAAAGTGCACGTACACGTAAAGAAAAATTAGTAATAACCCTCTGTGATGTCTTCTCGACCACTACCTTGATTAAGAGAAAAATTAGTGATAAACCTCTGTGATGTCTCCTTGAGCACCACCTTGATTAAGTCCGATTTGAATCAAGGAGAAGAACCATCACTTAATGAAAGAGAGAAGCATATATATGGAACATAGATATGTATGTATTATAAAATAGTTGTTCATGCAAAAGTCTTACCCGGGTACTGATCAGACTACTGTTTAGAGTATGTTTTTTACTTGTTTGAGACAAGGAGAAATGAAGAAGAAGAAGACAAAAGAGAAAGGTGGTGAAGAAGAAGAAAAAGGAAGAAGGAGATAGATATAGCTAGGTTTAATTATAAGAGGAAAAAAAGAACGAGTGATCAGAAGAATTAAAGAATAGACACAAAGAGATAGAGAGAGAGATGGCAGGGAATATAAAAGGAGAAGGGTGGACCGCTCGATTGCGCATGGTTGATGGCTGTCCCCAGTTGCTTACGTCACTCGTCTTCCCCGTTTAAACACTCTCTCTCTCTCTCTCTCTCTCTTTTTCTTTAATTTTTTTTTATTTTACTTTTTTATAAGTTTTTCTTTTTCGTATTTCTTTATTATTTTAACTTTCTAATTTCATATTTCTCTATTTTAACTTATCTTCACAGCATATATATATATATAGACACATAGTCCTCTAATTTTTTTTTGTCAATAAATGAAATTTTTTAATAAATAATGTTAGTCCTTTATAAATTCATATGTACTAAGTTGACAATGGCTTGCTCATCAGACAGGCGCGGCCCACAAACAGAGGACCACATGTTAAACGAGCAAAACGGTGCCGCTCGGTTTGCATCAGCCTTGCGCCACGTATTGCCGCCAAATTAGCCTCGCCCAAGACTTCACGCCGGCATGTCGAGGGTCACGGCTCACGGCTCACGGCTCACATGGCTTATCACTGTATTCGCTTCTAGGTGAATTTACAAGAAAGCCCTCTTAGAGTCCTACTATCTTTTTAACACACCACAGTAAGCGATGACATTCTGACTGACAGTGCACGTTAACATCACCACATGGGTTATGTCGTGCGTCGCTTTCAGTGGTGCTTTGGTAAATTCATGCTCCATTTACGGCCCTCAAATGATTTCTCGACAAGTATTCCGGAGAAGGAAGCCGGAAGCGTACTATTGGGAAACTAAGCCACGTGGCATCCATCGGTTGGTGGGTGGAATTGATCTTTACGTAGAAGATAAACAAGGCCAGGGAGATGGAGAAATAAATCTATCGTTTGGCCAGCCTTTGATTAGCTGCCCCCACTTCCACTTTCAACTGGATCTCGGGGATCTTTGGTTTGTTTTTTTTTTTTTTCTTTTGCAAATAAAACTAATTATTTAAATTAAATTGGAATTTAATAATTTTGAAAATTATTTAACTCCTCAACTATTTTTATTTTGACTGATTATGAATTACATTATTTAATATATATGTATTTAGTCATACTAGGTAATGGGTATGCATAAATTTATAATGACTAAAGAGTGAATAAAAATTATCTTCAAATTGATGTGTATATATACATATATCTAGTATATATAATTCACGTATAATATTATTCTTTGTAAAAACTCAAAAGACCAATCTTATAAAAGAAATATACATTCCCAAAAAAAAAAATTTAAATAAACAACATAGTTTCATAAAAATTGTCTATTTAATTTTTGTATTGGTTAGAAATTCGAACACAAAATTAAAATTCTAAACTCTTTTAGAATTGTATTATAAATTACAAACACTTTTTTTTTTTTAATTTTCTTTGTGATTGTAACAGATACTTTGAATTGATATTTCTAAATGAAGATGTGTAGTCTTCAATTTTTATTTTTATTTTTTTAAGACTTGTAGTGGAACTGTATGGACCAAAGGTATACATGAAGAATCCCACGTCGGCATTGTAAAATATGTGTGTGATGTATTTGTATATATTGTATTTTATAAGGTCGACAAAGATAAATCATACACATAATTATCTCTGCATTTATATTTTGTACTTATATCTATCCTCTATAAAAAGTTTTGGGTATAATATAAAGGACATTATTAAACAATTACCCTATAATAATATTTAATATTATTAAATCTTGTCATAAGCGATTAATATTATTAATCTTTGTGATAATATTATTATTAATAATTTCTAAGTCTATTTTGACTTTAGAGATAATATTTTTCAACCAAATGGTCAAAATTTTTCCCACGAACCTTTTTTTTTTTGTTTTAATATTTTCCAGCAATTTAGGATTGAACTTGAAATCAAATCATACAATGTATGACTTAAACGTTGTTGGTTGTATACTCAATTTTTTTAAATAAATATTATGATAAAATTATTAAGTTAGTTTCTAAAATTTAAAATTTGTTATTATTTAGTTTATAGTAAATTATATGACCAAATTATAATAAGTGTCAAATTTAAAAGGCTAATTTAGTAATTTAATTTAAATATTTTTATAGATATAACCTAAATTTAACTAATAATATAAAAAAAAAAAAAACATACATGTCAAATTCTCATTAGGAACTAAAAAGAAGTACAAAGACTAATAATAATTTGGGACCAAACAAAAAATTGAGAGCCTAATATTGGAATTGATTTGCATTATGTTATGTGACAGAAACCCGCATGGGTATGTGACTTGAAAATTTGTGTTCGTCTTTTTATGCATAAAAATCATGAATAGATCTTTGGAATCAAGCCATGGTGCACGTGTCATATAGCTACAAAATTTGGAGTTGAATTGCTTGTCTTTTTTCTTTCCTATTTGATGGGAGATCATTTACCCAATAATTATTTGATTGCTAATTAGTTTCCTTTTTTGTTTTATTTCCTTGACACGTTATTATTATTTGGAAACAACAAATCAAAGCATGACAAACAGTTCATATTGGTAAGTAACAACTTTTGTATATATAACATGTGAATGCATTTCATAGAGAATATATAGGACCTTTTTTTTTCCCCCTTTAAGGAAAAAGATAATCGTAGGAAAAGTTTTAATTGATTAGTGAGCTCATTGTTAATGATTTGAATTTGAATTTAATTTCGATATTTCAATTTTAAATGGTAGAGATATATACATGTTAAATTTTATACAATTGCGTAAAGATTTTTTAAAAACATATTTTATATATGTGATGGATAAAAAAATCAACTAAATGTGAATTTTATATTTAATTTTGGTAATCTCACTGTATATATATGATTAATTGATGTATATATGTATAAAATTGAACAGTTCGAACTAATATGTAATTTACGATGAAGAGATTGTATTAAATTAAAATTTTTTTAAAAAATATATAATTTAGCTTACAAATAATCTGATTCAATAGTCAACCTGTAAATCATATTTAATAAATAAAATTTTATAATTTTTATTATTATATTAGTAGTTTATAATAACTTTATTATTAGTCATATCAATAAAAATTAATTTTAACTTAATTTATTAATTTATTATGTTTGATTTAAACTATAGTCGGGCACGCTCGATATAAATAAAAACAAGTTGATTTACCCAATTAATAATCTCAAATGGTCTCGAATAGGTCGATAAGTTACCCATCTATTTTGTTACATACATCTCGATTTTGAATTGTTAAATTTAGAATTTAATTCTCATTATAATGATTTAGTATGTAGATAAAAATAATATTAAACATCAAAACTAGGTTCTCATTATAATGATCCGGTAGATGTCAATTATGAACTATGCACTTTAAGAGAAAAAAAAAAACCAATGCTATTAATAA